CCGGCTCCCCCCCCCCCCCCCCCCCCCCCCCCCGACAAAAACAGACATGCCAAATATGCTTTCATAAACTTAAGAGACCTAACAAAACTTAAATTACCTAATTTAATTGCCTACACCTGTAAGTTCCAAATTCACAGATACTGTACTTACCACTTTAATGTGAAGCGTGTGCCTGTTTCTCTGCAGGCAGCTGATCAATTTGTGGAGAGATTTTTGAAACTGACACTGAGGTTGTCCTCCAATTCCAGTCTTGAATGGTACTTTTAACAGATGCAGTACTTGTGTGAAGTTCTGTATGGCTGCAGCAGAAATAACCAGAAATGAATAGGATCAGAAAACTTAGAGCCCAGAGAGCACTACCCAACAGCCTCCATACATTTTTATGAGAACCTTTGCAGTGAGCTGTTGTTTTCCAACCCTACAGGTCTTTCTTCCACTTAATCCGTTCTCCGGAGAAGTGTTTCTCCCAACAATGAGGGAAGTCTCTACCCTACACTGCCATACATAAGTGATTCCTGTTATAATGAGCAGCTGAACTGGGGCAGCCGTGTGTTGATTCATGAGCCTGCTCAGGCTTCTCAGCACTTCTGCCAGGCAGTTTTTTCAAAGGAAAATAATTTATCTCATTTGCTGCAGAGCTAAGGTCTCAGTGCATTGTGTGGGCTGGGCTTGCTTGGGAGGGGGGGAAGTGGGGGTGCTCCTTCTTGCAATGTATTTTAATTGCTCTTTACCCTGAAGCTTTGTCCTGCTCCCTGCAGAAAGGATGCAGAACACACAGCTCCCATGGCAGAGCCAAGTACTTCTCTCCATTGGGAGATTCATGTGTGCCCAGTTTGTATGCTGGTGCTGCTCTGACCAGCCTGGAACCATGGTCTTGTTATATAATGATGACGATGATAATAATAGTAAAATATGCCTTGCACATGGTGCCCCCCAGGATTCCTTCATACCCTGCCAGCGGGGCATGCCCCACAGTTTGAAAACTGCTGCTGTAACACTACCCATTTCAACACAAGTTGCTCAATGGGGATTCAATGACTTTTTCAAAGTTGTTGGCTACTTTTTTGTGTGTGCAGCTGGTGTTACAGCTTTTTAAAAAGTTTTGAAGAAAAACATTTAATACTTCCATTCACATAATGGCACTTGCTTTGAAAGCTAGTCTTAAAAGTGCTTTTGTACATTCTACAACTGCAAACATTTTGCATATCTAAACTTTAATGTGGTTTGGAATAAGACATTTTTAAACTAGTGTAGACTTTAGTTACTAGGTACTTCATCCTTATTCCACTTGTTTTTTAAAATAGATGCATCATTTCCTCACTCTGTTCCTGTTTTTTTAATTTATTTTTGCCTTCTAATAGACATGGTAGTGGAAAGAGTTGAAGTACAGGACTAGTTTTTTAAAACTTAGATGGTAAATGCATTCAGCATTTAGTTTATTTTCCAATTATGGTGTAATTCAGCTGAGTGTTTTTATTACCTATTTTAATATAGACTTCTGATCTGCAGTAGTGGTAAGCAATAGAGAGATAGCTTTTAAATTTTGTATAGTTTACTGAATATGAAGTTAGTTCAGTAACTACATTGCTACAGAAAAAGTAAGTGCTGTGATTCTTGCCTAAGTAGTTCCTTTATTTGCAGTGTTGCAGCAGTTGGGAATGGTTAGGTAGCCAAGTGCTCTTTATGGGCAAGTCTCCCTTCTGTTGTTAATTGTTCTGCCTGCTCTAAGAGACATAGGTTGGTTGGTTTTTAATTTCTAGGTTATAATTTCTTTTTCATTAATTGAAAATAGTTTGAACAATAATAGTTTTTGTTGGAATACTTCCTATCTTTAAGGCTGTATAATATCAATGTGCTTGGAACACCAACAGCGTAGTGCTAAGATTATGTTTCAACTGCTCTTTTCCAGCAGATATGTCACTTTATTTAAAGCATGACTCCTTTAGCTGCCTTTTGACCTTCAGACTTCCTCTGTAGAAACAAAGTGTTTCTAATATTTCTTTTGCTGTGAAATGTTATCATAGAAATGCTTCTTTGTGGGTCTTCAAAGCTTGTTACTGTAAAGTAGCTGTTGTGAATATCATCTATTTAATTTACAAAACTAGTGTATCGAAGAATTGGAGGCAAAGTTGTGGTAGTGTTTTTTTTAACAACAGGTCAAGTGTTACCTGTATGTTCATCAGGTATGATTAGGCTTGTTTTTTAAAGCTGCATTTGCAATGGTAAAATCAAGTTGATTAACTGTGTGGAATTTTAGGGTGTTTTTCCCCTCTTAAAATTCCAGTCAGAGGATTCATATTGCATTTCCTGAATTCTAGGAAACTGTTTCCACTAGGAAACCACTACCCAAAACTACATAGTGGTTTCTTCCATCAGCCAAATTGAATTATAGACACCAGAAAAAAGGATGCTGCAAATAACTTGTTCCAGACTAGAATGAAATGCCACCAGAAGCTCCTACTCCCCTTTCTGACATTTCACAAAGGATTCTGCCCTAGACCATAAATCTGGAAGTCTCGATTTAAATGATATTTTTTCCTATTTGGGTTAAATTCTGCCTTAAATGTGCAGTTATATTTATACTAGCACAATTTGGACCCTTGGCATTTGTCATCATACCCTTGCCTCTCAAACTTTAATCTTTATGTTGGGATGTGTTCTCTTACTGGGTAGTTGCAGTGGACTTTTCTCCCAGGAGCTCTCCAGAATTGCTTCTCTCTGATGGTGAGCATCAGTTCAAAGACCATTGCTAGTGTGCTTATTTTAATTTGACACTTTTTGCCTCTGATGCAAATAATCTAGGGGCAGAAATGGCATTCCCCCCCCCCCCCCCCCCCCAATCATTTTAATGGAAATATTCATTCACCCTTTCTATGTCATCTTCATCTAAAGTCAGATTAATTTACCACAGCTGGCTCTGCCATTTCAAGTAGCAGTTGCTGGAACAGTTGTGTGACTTAGTTCTCGCTGTGCTCTTGCCTTCAGGGCTCTTGTGTGTGATGATGCATGTCTGTTGTACCTCAGCTTATTTGACCTTGGCCAACTGTCAGAGTTGGGTGTGAAATGAAAGGACAGCTGGCTTTCACTGTTCAAGATAAGTCCTTGTGTGAAAGAGGCTTCATTTCCACTTCCTGAAAGTTCAGGGTACATAGACTTCAAGGATATGGTCAAGTTCTGCAATGTATGTTTATGAAGCAAAGGAGAAGAAATAAATGATGACTCATCACTCGGGCATAACTTACTAAGTTTTCCTTCCCAACTTCTGGGGTTTAATGTGTCTATGAATTATCTATATTTCTATTGCGAGTCTATGGAGGGCAAACGTTTTCTTTAGATGAATTTCTGCTGGTAATATGTCTCTTCTGCTTCACAGGAAAATGAGTGAACTCAGTTTTTGCCAAAAACGAAGGGTCCCATTCATGGGCAGATATAAGATTTTGAAAAGGGGGTGCAGATCGTGTGGTCTATTGCATACAATACAACATCATTTTTCTCCAGATAAAAAGAAACTAGATGCTTTACTATAAGTATATTAATTCCACACACTTGGATCAGTATTTTCAGCTAAAATTACAAACGTTCTGCAGGGCTGTGAAGTAGGAGCTACATGACTATGAGCAGCTAACACAACAGAACTGCAGAAGAAAATAACTTTATTAGTGGAATACCAAGACCTCTGAAA